CTTTCAAGCACAGTTGAATGAAAATAGCGTCTTTTTATCTTTTTAATAGATATTCCTATCTTAACGAGGGCTGCTTGCTCTGCTTCACCACCCCATAAGGCTAGGGACTGCACACTACAGAGATTTCTTCTCCTGCCTATGGGTTGGCAGAACGACCTGTGGATCAGATCGGTTTTAGAGAGAGAATTTCTCCTAGTGCCTTGGGGCGAAGCACGGATCGGATCATCTTGAGTTTTGGTTCAAGAGAAAGTCTTTCTTCCCCCGAGGGTTGGTGACCATACTAGCGGCATGCAGGCCTAATTTAACACCGTTTCACGGGTGACCCTCAATAACATAGCCGTCTTATCTGAACCCCTCTGGTATGGGAAAAATGCTTGCTTCACAGGTATTTCCCGAATGTAGGGCCCCTACAGACAAGCTATCGCAGGGCGCTCGTCCAACGCCCACCAAGCAAGTTAACCATAACTCCAAGTTTTGTCTTGAAAACAACCTCTCTGTGCCGTTAGTGCAACATTTCTCTAGTGTACCTTTGGGGTAGTGGTAATGGGCTCCAGAGCATACCGGTATTCCGTTTCTCTTATCGCCGTAGTAATTTCTGAACCAGTGATTTCTCAACCTGAACAAATAGATAAGACTAGGAAATGACCCCTCTTCAAGCTCTTCCCCGGAGGGAACACCCAGATAGACTTGCTTACCCCCTGCTAGGGAACCCGTGCTGGAGCAATGTAACTGGATTAGAAAAAAGATATATTTCCACTTAGCTATTGCTTGAAAGAGTCATTTCTCTCCTTTCTTCTTTTTAGTAGGTGAAGCTGAGTGAACTCATACCCTTAGGGGGGGTCACTGAACACAGACTTTCTCGGTTTTTTTATCCGTTTTAACTACCCTCAGACTGGACCTGTAGCTCTGGTGTTAGAACTTGGGTTTAAGGCCTTCTATCGGCCTTAGCCGTTGGTTGAAAGAGTAAGCCAAGCCTTCTTTTTTTCAGAGTCAAGTAGACTACCTTTTCTGTTAGGAGCTAGAAGCTTAGAAGCAGCTAGGGGCTAGGAGCTAGGAGTTATAGAGGAGGAGGGGATAAGAAGTCACTCGTATGAGTTGTTGTTACGGTTACGGTATGTAGTGCTCAACCGATAGGAACGAGTTACATACTTGGAACGAGAGGTTAGGAGGAACGCAGTAGCTCCACCGATAGGGGGAGGGATGTTTTGGACTCTACCGATAGTCACTGGTCCTTTAGGGAACGAGCTACATAAAAGGAGCGAGAGAGTGACAGCGGGTGGGAGTGAAAGAGGCTGGAAAGTACAGTACGAAGCAGGTTCTATGCAATTGAGCTCGACTGAAAGGAAGATTTCTTACTTACGAGCTACATACTTTCAGTGAGAAGGAGATAGGTACGTAGCCTTGCACACTAGGAGTTTTAAGATGCCCAGAGTACAGCGCAACTTAGACCAACATGGACGAGAGGCTCTTTCTTATTCTCGAATCCCCTGCTCTTAGAGACTCGTACAAAGAAGAAAAAAAGTTCCATGCCATGGCACTTGCCTTCCCTTACTCTTACTAATACTAATGTGCAATCATTCCCTCCCTCACATGCATTTGCAACAGATTCTAACTAAGACCGGTAATCCCCGGCCATTCTCGGCATCTTCACTAGTTGCCCCTCTTCTCAAAGCCCTTTGAGAAGAAGATGAATGTCAATGTGCCATTTTATTCTTTCTTCGGGATACTATTGGCTTAATCTTCTTTTCCTTCGGCGAGGATACCCTAGTTCCAATCGTTTTAGGAAAGTCGGCATTCTTAGTGGAAAGGAAAGGACTTATACCATGAACGGACTCTTTGCCTTGGGTCAATCAGTTCCTTGGCTTACTAATGACCACTTCGAGAAGAACCTATTTGAAAACAGTCTAATGCCACATCTGACTCAACAGCTCCTTCTTCCTTTTCTTCTTCATGTGCACAAGCCCTTCTTATATATGCAACCACTTCTTGAACAACCTATTCCTATTCATGCGACAACAGCACATTCTATGCCATCTTCCTTATACTATTGATTAAACCAAGCGATTCGTGTTCAATTGCACAAGCCATTCGTTGGAAGATTAGACTGGCATCTGCCTTAGCCCTGTCTCCCTCCCTAGCTAATTGAATACCAGCTTCCTCTTATATTAGTATTATATGTCACTTCCTTGTCCTATTCTTTTAGTATGCATAGGTTGCTTTCTTTGATCTTATCTGCTCACGAATGGTCTGCTTAAGCCAATAAGATCGAAAAGGCTATCTCCGAGTGGCAAAAAAGAGTGCGGCACTTTCCTTCAAGCAGGAAGGATGCAAAGTAATCCAAGGGAAAGTTAGACCTCGAGTGAGGAAAGACGGGAGCCACTCTAGTGACCTTTGAAAAGGGTCCGTACTAACCTTACCAGTTATTACTGCCTAGTGCCCAAACTGATTAGAGAGTTGTTGAATAAGCAAATCGGCTGTTTACAGTTACAGCAAACAGGAAAAAAGAGCAGTCGTGTGGAAGGTCTTTCTTCGGTCTTTGCTTCCTCTTCTTAGCCTAGCCGCTTCCAGGCACCAGATTGAGATAGCCATTTCGAATGAAGCATATCTCTCAACACTACCTTTTTGGGGCTAGCGGACCGAAAGACCACCTTACCTTGTTCGTCCGGTGTCTACCTATACATAGGGATAGGGATTGGCTGCAACATCGGTGTGTGGAGCGGGATGTAGTGCACTCCTGCTATTGATATCATTCGGCCACCCATCACCTTCGTCTCTATCTAAATAAACCTATGCAGTGATTGATAGAAACGATTCACAGACGGAGAAGAACCCACGCCGCAGCCATATCCCGACCAAAGTGCACGACACTAGAAAGGGAGGCTTTCACTAAGGCTACTCTTTTCTGTTGGGTCGAGCAACCCTGTCTTGGTACTCGATCTAACTCTCAATGAAATGCCGAACTCTAACTAATATATGCGCATTGGTCGGCTGTTGTGTCGCCTCTTCCCAAACATGGTTTTCCCTCGATGGAGCTAGCCATTTCCCTTCCCCGACTAAGCCCCATAGAAATGCATTCTCCGAGGCCGGAGGTCTACTACAGGGTACCGGTTCATTATCCGACACAAGGCAGTCTCGCATAAAAAGCCGGTCCCCTCCTGATCAAGCTGGGTATGAAGGTGAGCTCCTAAGTCAGTCATTCCTTGCTCAAGTGAGGACAGTGCCCCGGTTCTACCGATTTCCTTGGGATCAGCGCTTGGGGTAAAAACACTTTCTTATAGTACACAACACGAGCTTTCTTCAAATTCTTTCTTTGCTTTTATGCCAATAATGAGCCGCTACTATGAGGACCACCCAACTAACTTATACAACTAGTGGAATAACTAGAAGGGGACCCCGCTTGCTAGGAGAGGAATGACTCCATTTCATTTATCTTACGCCGTTAGGAAGGAGAAGAGCAAAGGTCTCTCGAGCATTGTAATGGATGCGAGGGAGCAACAACGATTAGACCAATCCTCGATTTAGGACGAAATCCAGACTTCGGAGCTCAGGAGCACCTTTCTGTTAAATTTGATTTTCTTTTTATCTGGCATAATGGGAAGAACCTCTTCGTTTATTGCTCGAGGAATAGGAGCTCGTCCTTAAAATTGTAACCATATACATATGAAATGAGAGCAATGGAGTACCAATTCTCGGGCTTTATTTGTCAATTAGCATTGCCTTTGTAATTAAAGCTCGTCCTACAGACGGTGCCTATCTCTTCCTATCCTACTAAGGGGAAGAACTTAGCTCATGCCGTAGGAGAAGGGAAGCAAGACCGGGACATTGTACGGACTTTAGGAGCTCGGCCCATCAGGGGTTTGCTGGCGGAGTTACAGGGGTTACCTCAAAGTAGGGGTATCCGGGGTCACCTCCGAAGGGTCCTATCAGCAAGACAATCGGGATAGGAGGGATGCCTGTCTCGGAGGTAGCGGGGTTGCCTTGAAGGCGCGTCTGCTCTTTCTGTTGTTTTGTTCCTAGGCCCATTTGAAGCGGCAGTCTTTGCCGAACTCTTCTAGATTTTAGGTTCAAACGAAAGATTCTTCTCAAGGCCATCTAATCTATGAAGATAGGCTGCACCAGACAAAGAACAAGCCCCTTTGTCAGAGACTTCTCAGTTGTTCAAGAAGATGTGCTGCTACTACGCCCTTCGTGCCTATTCTCTTGAGAGTTCCCTCCGCTCGGGGAAGAAAGGCTTCCGGGGAAAGGGTCTATCTTACTTAAGGGGGAAGGAAGAAAGTCTTCAGAACCGCGGACACTCCGTTACGGCCTAAGACAGGAGCAATCAGCTTACGAGGGAAACCTAACCTACTTCGGGACAGGAGCATGATTTTGAATTTCACTAAGATGGCTATGACTTTACGTATCCCACAGGGCTAAAAGAAGGAAAGAAGGGCATCCCTTTTCCCATCCAAGCGTATATGAGGAAGAATCCATCGAGTCCGTGCAGCTCCCTACCAACCAAAGGCCACCTTACAGGATGAAGAAGATAGAAGCCATAGAGGGGGCTTTACTGATATTTGCATTCACAGAACTAAACAGGGAAGATATCCCAGGATTGTGGCTAAGAGGTCAAAAGCAGATAGCCTATATAGAAAATAGAAAGATCATTTTTGTTTTCAGTGAGAAGTGCTAGCATAGCAGCAGGTTACATTCCTAGGGCTCAAGTACCAGAAAACAATGCAGTGGTGAAAGCAACAAGAGAAGCTAGGGGTTCATCCAGCGGAATAGATCCATTAGCATGTTGGGATCTAGAGAAGACCGATTCTGAATCTGAGACAGAAATGACTTTGGCCCAGAGGCTTCAAGAGGAAAGGAAAAGGAAGTCAGAATCTGGTACAGACAAGAAAGGAAAGGGAATTCGAATAGATTTTTTGTGCCAAGAGGGGAGAGCACTGAGAGCATTTGTTGATCTATACGATCGACCCCGGCCATTCGCCGCGTGGGGGAACCGGGTAACCAAAGTCGCGATCGAATAACGGAAGGTCGCAGGATTTCTTTTATGAATTCTAGAAGTGCTGGTTCGAGTCCAGCTCGTGACAAGGCCTTGGTCATATAGATGTCTCGACTCCTGAGCAGGGCATGAGAGGTTGCTTATCGGATTTTCAATTTCCTCCTATCCAGAGGGGAATGCCGGGCAGAGAGCCAGCTAAGCCATATATTTACTCAGATCGGAATGAATGGACGACAAAGAAGGTCTCAAAAGACAAACAAAGACGAGCATTTGAATTGATGACTATATGAGGAGCCTACATAGCCCGCGTAAACTCAAGTCGTGGACTAAGAAATCGGCAATAGAAAGGATTCCTCACATCACAAGTCCGGGAACGACACAGAGCAAACGAGCGGACAGGAGGCAGGGAAAGAAAAGGCTTTACGGAAAGCGGTAGTCGTGGACTGGTATACTGCGAATGCTTCGCCTAACAATTACCTAACAATCTTTGAGACTCCTTATTGATCCCTCACTCTAGTAAGTGCTGGCGTAGCGGGTCCTAGTGGAATGGTAATAGCGCGTTACACATATCATAATATGTTCCCCCGACGAGACCCCGAGCGTACAAGAACTACAAGGGCAAGGAGAAGATACATTGGAAGTGTGGAACGAGAGAGGGATGGTTTACCAAAGAATCAATACGCCTACTATCTTTGTTTGACAGCCCCTTAGTTGGGCTATACACTCCGGGCTCTAATAGACTCACTCTTCCAGCAGGAGAACGAGAATGCCTAAACCTTAGTTACAAGCCATTAGTTCCCTCCTGACCCTAGAAGGACTAATTATAGAACATGGAATTTCGATTCAAAAACGCACGTAAAACGATTCAAACTTCTATACATGAGGTGTCTTTATCATCCATTTGATGCAGTAAAATCGCCTTTTTTTCGATGTATGAATAAATAAAATTAGAATCCAATTGAATCAGATTGGAGATCCAGACTTGTCACTTGAATTTCCTAGTCCTTTCTTAACAAGATGGAGGGGAAAATGAAGAAAGAACCCTAGGCTTAGGCGTGGTGTCAACAGCTAAATGAAATACAGGAAATGCAGATTTAGTTACATCTTATAAAAGGGAAAAGTGCGGGCAATGCCGACCTAGGAAAAACTCATGAACACCGGACGGCGAGTAGGCCCATACAATTCAACAGTTCGTTTCGTTGCCTATTTCTCTATATAGAAAAGATTCGTTAGGTATCTTGCCCCAACACTTCTTTCAACTCTTCTTTTAGGCTCTTCATCAGCACTTTCAGACGACATGTATGGGGAGTTTTCATACTTCTAAGAGTTCTTAGAAAATAGAGAAAGAAAGGGACCTGCGGAACTCAGTTACAGGACTTCACTCGTATCGTAGTAGGCGGGATGTAAGGAACCGGAAATGCCTGGCTTGAAGGGAACTCACCTGTACCGATAGCAAGGGGAACTCAAACTCGATTTAGCTTTCTACCACTGGCTTCTACAGACTCCTATTTGAAAAAGGAAACTCCTAATAAGGTAATACGCTATCAGATAATAACCTTCCTCAAAGGACCAGAAGTGGAGGGGCACTTGAACATACCCTATCATGTCCCGAACTAGCCTTCCTTGACGGAAACAAAGATAGAGATAGCTTTCTTGCCCTATCCCGAGCTAGCCTAGAACCCTAAAACCCACTTGCCTATTTGGCTCGTAGAGAAAGCCTATTCTAGGATTCTGCCATATACGAGATTACCAGCCTTTTAGGACATACACATATAGCGAAGGAATCCAACCCCTCCTGTTACACAGGCTACAAGGGAACTCTCAACGGATGAAAGGCAATAAAGAAAAAACTTCAAGTAGATCGATCAATGGAACTAGCTCGCAAAGAAGGAGCAGGAATGTCACTGGCTAACAAAAGGGGAAGCCTAATAGTCCTAATCAAAAGAAATCCTGGAAAGCTAAGGGAAAACCATCCAATTCCCTAGTGTAACAATCCCTTATTGTATATAAGAGCTCAACTTTCTTGTAATTGTATATTTGAGCTATGAGCTATTCCCCTCCTGGGACAATGGCAATAGCAAAAAAGGCCAACGAAACGACTCCTACACCTCCTGGCCGGGAACTCCCAAGAGAACTCACACTCACAGGAAAAAGAGACAGCTGGATTGGGGACTGCTACTAGAGAAAGAACCCCATATAAAAGGACCATTCCAACTGCATCTATCCCAATGGCTGGACTGGCTGGAACAGAACTCAGCTGTACATATGCTCTGTATTATCAATCTATCTTACACTGTCTTGCCTACTCGCTTGCCCGAGAAGAGAATCCGCTATCCCAGAGACGACTACTAGTTGTATTTTCCAGGGACTTCCACTCAAACTCAAACACCAGGGACTGGTATGAAGACTGGTGGAAAGCGGAATAGCGATACGGGGACTTCACCTATTGATACCGGGACTACTGTTACGTGGAATACGTATACAGGGACTCCAACTCAATCCCCATCGAAAGGAACTGCAAATGTATTCAAGGGAGCTCGTTTTAACGGTCGAAATGCTAGCCGCCAGAGTTCCAGTGCTATATCGAAGAAAGGAGCTCTCGGTACTTAATCATGAGCGAAACATCACCGAAGCTTTCTTCAAAAAAATGGAGTGTTCAGTTGACCCTAATAAAGATGAGATATACTCGAGAAGGAAGACTCTATCCCTTGCCTGGCCAGTGAAGAGGGCATCTCGGAAGAAGCAGTTGGGAAAGGAAAGGAGATTGTGGGTTTCTTCCCTTCAACATTCCTATTTCTGAGATCGAGCTATGAAAGCCGAACTGTCTTTACCGAACGAGCCTACCTGAAACTGCTACCAGAAACGGAGACTACGGCCCTAGCCCTACATAAGGAATTGATTCCAAAGCCGCTAGAGTACTACGCTTGACGGAACAGCAACAAGGATGATTTTTGATGAACCGACTGAACTAAACCTCCCCGAACGACCCTAGCGTACGGAAAAGAAAGAAGGTTTAGTTTACCACTTGAACTGGACTTCCGCTTCCGGCTTGTTTGAAATGAAAGAAGCAGTAATGTTGCCAGAGTTTTGTCTAGCTTTTGGACTCTACGCGTTGTCGTGATCGTGTAAATCTCCCTCTTCCGCTTTAGACGACACGACTTGCCTTAGTAAGACAGCTGGAATTCTCGCTATAGTACGATTGTTCGTAGGTTGACTGACGGAAGACTAGCTGTCTGTGCTAATTGAAAACAATATTCATTCGATTCTTGCATCATTTTTTGATGTTCCTTGTACCATCGATTTGATTCGATGATTGTATAAAATTTGGAATGTTTAAAGGCAGCAGCACATTCGTCTTGATATATCCTATTTTCTTCTTCTTGTTTTGACACATCCTCCACCTTTTCTGAGTAAAATGGAATCAAACTTCTGGAAAAATCCCGCTCGTGAAAATGCAATACGCCAGCGCGGTACATTCTACCACGGAAGTCCATGTAAGCTGGCAAATAGATTTGAAACCCTCTGTATGCTTCCGCAAGATTTCATATGAAATTTTCATATCTAGCACGCTGAACCCGTTTTTCTAATTCCAGTAACAAAACGTCATACCGACATAACCCTGGATCAACTGTTCACTCTTCCTCTATCTTCACTCGCTTCCTTGCCTTCGCTTAGTTAACCTTGGTTGATTGTCAAAGATTTAGTCTTTAGTGAACCTACCCTTCGAACTTCTAGCTGGAGGTCTTCTTCAAAGCCGTAGCTGGACTCCTTCATGCATGATCCAGCTTCTGGAATTAGGTGTAAAGACACGTTCTCTGTATTGCTTGTTTTGTACTTGGCTTGGAGACCGGTTCCGAATTGAATTAGTGTAGTGCGGTTGCTATTTCAAAAAGAAAGAAAGACGCGGATTGACCCCCGAGCCTTTGCCTGAGTGAGCTACGTCCAAATTCTTATTCTTTCCGTAGAGGAATTGGTACGACTTTGGGCAAGTGACAATAGTCACATTGAACCCTCGACTATGTGATCAATAACTCTTCTCGGTTAGGAGAACCCCTCAGGGCTGTTGACTATGTCCTTACAATACTTCCCTTTGCCTTACCCAGGATCCTGCTTATTGGACTCAAGGAAGTCGAGAAGCTAAACCAATTAGCAAGATGTGTTCGAAGAAAGATAGAATGGATATTTTTACCCTTCCTCACAACATAGGGCTCGGGAAGGGCGAGTACAGAATTCCTAAACCGTACACATGGGAGCTTGTGCCATTACCTCTTGCCTGCAGCTCTGGTTCAGAATCATTCGGGAAGTCCCTCCATTTTAGAATAGGAGGACATGTATGGTTAGGTTCAGACTGTTCTTGGAAGGATTCGTCGGTCTTCTCTTATATAAGATATAGAAGAGAACACCACACCTCCTCCCTTTCTTTAGGACAGTATAAAGAAGATCGAAATGCTCTTGGAGTCTCGAGATTTACCTTCTCTCAGCGAGGAGATGAATTAGAACACTTGGAATCCTCGCGGATATAGCGTGTGTGCCAGATCTTGTTCGATTAGACCCAGTTCGACCTCCAGTACCGATTTCCCTCTGAAATAGATCGAACTGAAGCTTTTACTACTACTACGACTATTAGACTTTCTTTTCGAATGTTGAATTGATATGCCCTTTTCCCAGGTTCTTTCCCCTTCTCTCTACCCTGAAAAAGAAGTCGAGGTACAAGATCGCCGATCTCATCATTACATACGACATTTCGAGATAGCAGAGAAGGTTGAAAAGGCAGTATTTCTGATACGGATTGGCGAACTTCTTTCTTGCTTTAATAGCGGTCATTGCAGGCAGCAGCGGCGAGTGAAAGCATAGGGCTGATCCCGTTAGGGCTTCCCTGGCTTAGCTTCCTTCACCCATACGCCTAGGAAGTCTAGTATGTACGGGCTTTATTAGGGCGAAAACACTTGCTTGACTCATTCTCGGGTGACATAAAAAACAACGGGGGTAGATTATCGATATGAAAAGCCACGGGAGGTGGATTGATAATTACGGAAATCGCCTTGGAGTGGGTGCCTATCTGACCTCATCCCCCGACCTGTCTTTAAC